AAATAAGCCTGTAGAATATCAGGTGAAAGTTCTGGCCATGGAAAGAATCAAAGTGTATAGAGAGACTATCTATTTTGGCTGGTCACCACGTTCAGTTGAGCAATATTATTATAGTTTGCTGACAACACTAATAACTTCAGACATCGATCTATGGGCATGGTTATTCTTAGCAGAAGGCGGTGAAAACAGACCGCTTTGCTTTACTGTATTCACAGCACTGAAGTCTGCCCTCAGCAGAGCGGTACAAATGTCACTACGCTGCTGAGCTCCTCAAAATCTGTAACAAGCTATCCGAAGCACAGACAAACCTTCAGTAAGTCTTTGAAAATACAGATCAAATTCCAATACCACTGCTTTCTCCAAATTCTGCACTTCTGGAAATGCGTGCCCTCTTAAATTATCATCATGCCTCTGTTAGAGTTAGGTCTGTCAAAAGGGAATGCACCTGTGACCTGTGAGTCACAGTGTGCAAGGACCTTTAAAGTAAAACCACCCACAATTAATCTACCTGGAATTTCAAGCACAGATTCCAGACCTCAAGGACTCAAGTGCTAACCTTGGGTTGTTAGCTTTCATTTCAGCTCATCTTTGTGCCTTGTGCTATTATGGTAATGAACTTTCTTTGCTGCAAGCAACTGCATATTTTAAATCAACATGAAAATCCAAAAGATATTTCCATGTATTTAATGGAGTATTTATTAGACAGTGAAGAAAAACAGATGAAGTAAAGCTTTTGCTCTATCATCTTGAAAAACTTCAGTATTATCCTCAAGAAACTGAGTTACAGAAGGCAGGAACTGGCACAGTATGTTCTCGGCCAGTTAAACGCTGCACATTATTTTAGCAAACATTTCTGCTGGCAGTTGTTAACCTCAGGCAGTAGGAATACATGTTTGCAGAGGAGTAAAGAGCAACTAGGGAATCTGTCTATTCACTCCCATAAAGGCCTTTCTTAATTGATCGCAGCGTTACTATTTCAGAATTAATTATAAACCAAGATCATTTTAAGTGGCACCTTTGCCAGTTAAGTTTAGCTTCATTTCTGAAAAGCACATTAACAGCACACAACAATTAGTTGGTTTATAAATGATACACAAAATTAGCAGTACTATAAGTATAAAGCTGTGCTTGACTTCTACAATTTTCAGAGAATAAAGGACCTTTACGAGCTCTTCTCTTTGGGGAAATATTTTTAAAATTCAATAACTGACATATGGTATAAGAATATTCAGTTCAAAGGAAGAAACAAAACCAGACAGAAAACACAGACTGGTTTATATTTTTAGGACTATAAGCAGTGTTCATCCAGTACGGTAGGGGACTCATCCCAACATGCCCTTCAGCGCGGCACTAGTATTTTATAATGACTTCCTGCAAGTCCTTTGTGTTCTTGACCATCTCTGTCCGTTGCTCTTACGAGGATACGCTTCATGCTACTGCACTTGTCAGAGTGTTTTGCTATTTCCAAAAATAATGTGTTTCTCCTGTCAGGCCCAGCACACCATCCTTCTCAAAGAGCCTCTTCTGGGTGGCCATCTGGAAGCATGACCCCAGTGCAAAACAGGCGGGCTGCTGGATTTCTGTTGGCTCGCTTCTCCTCAGTACTGGCTACTTGCCCTGAAGGCAGCATTACAGTTTATTCCTAGGCTGCACAGCATCATTACTAGCTGTGCAGACATGACATTTCCATTGCTAATTTCTGGGCCTATTGATGTTTGTAACAAGGCTCAGAGAAAGACCCGAGAAAAAAGAATGAAGATGTAGAGGAATTAATTAGTTGAGAACAAGCAGAGATAACGATCCAAGACTCCAGAACCGAGTAAGTGCACGGAGGTCTCATACCGCACCTGAAATGCAGCATTGAGAGCCCTCCCTCATGCAGCGTTTTGGAAAAAGAATCAGAAAGACCACCAGATTTTAAAGGAAGAAGTAAATGAGCTGAAGAGCAATCAAAATCCAGAGCCAAGGTTCTAAAAGCAGGCATGCCCAAACTGTGGAGAAATTAGATGTCAAGAGTTCTGAAAGCTGGGCCTTTCTATAGTCAGAAAGCATGTCAGGAAATGAAAGTGCTAAGTAAGACACAGGGGGAAAGCAGAGGAATCCTCCCTGGATCTAAGCCAGCTGGGAGGATCAACGAGAAAAGAGGAAAATTGACTGACTTTAACTGATATTATAGTCTTTTTCTGCCTGGCTTCATAATTAAAGTGTAAAACATGACTGCATTTTTCCTTGCCATGTATGGTGCTTAGATATAAATCACCTATGGGCTCGTGACTACACTTCAGTGAAACTAATAACATGAAAGTCTGTAGACATGGGAGGAGGCAGCTTTTATAATATAAAAGATCATCTTGGTGAAAGGAATACTAAAGTTGTTTCTATTATAGTATTATAACTTCAATGCCTCTCCACGTCACTATGCTTTAGGAACAGGTACGATTATCACTAGGTGTAAGAATCACAAATCATTCGGTTTCCCAAGTACATCCCTGGAGAACAGTCTCAAATGGAGACATTCGAGAGTCCCCAGATTACCTGCTGGAGCTGAAGAGACTGGTTCAAGGTTTTTCACGGATAAACTACCAGCTTTTCTGAAACGGCATTGAAGTATCATGCTTCAGAGATCAGTTGGAGTTACTCTGGTATATACTCTGGTAGTCCAACACACTGGGGTTAACCACCACCTGAGTTTAATGGCAGATGAAGAAATGTTTGGGGTCTTCTAAAACAGCTGTGTCACTTTGCTGTTTATCTGTCTGATTTAGTAATCATAAAAGTTAGCACTCTCACCAGAATTATCATCAGCTAAAACTATTGCGTCTAGAGTAAGTGTTGAGAACAACTTGGTTGTCAACAAGTAGGGTAGCATCCAAGGATGGGACATTCCTATGCATAGCGATGAGTAGGAACGCTTGGTTTTATTTCACAGATACAATCTGTTCTTTGAAGGGAGGAACACAGAGCCTTGAAGTTACCAGACACCTGGTCTTTCACGTTACTGCAAATCTCTCAGACTTCAAAAAATTAAAAATTAGTTTGAAAAAGCAGAGATGGTTTTCAATTATTCCAAACAGATGGCTTAAGGGGAAAGATGCAACTTTTACTGCTGACAACAAATGCTAAAAAGTTGATCGATTTGAGCATGAAAAGGAGTAAACAAAATTTTCTTTTCATTTAATTGTGCAACGTAAGCTAAACATTCTTCACAAAATTACTATCAAAATGCAATAAGAGCAAATATAAAGCTGGTTTTGCCATGCATATTGTTAAGTCAGTAAGTGCCATCCTACCGACAGCATGGAGAATGGAGCTGTTAGAAAAATCAGTGATCATTCTTTCTTCTCCAGTCCTTTGCTGATGTTATTCCTTCAGTGCTGACATAGAAGCTAATGGAAATTTTGCTATAGATTTTAAATGGAATACATCAAGCTTTTTGTATTACAATAAAGAAAAATACGCTGAAATTTTGTAAGTTGCTTTTGCCTTCTACATGTAAAATACTCTTGTTTACCTGGTCCTACTAAACATGAAAAATTCCTATTTAAATCAAACATTTATTAGTTACAGTGGAGTCTTTTGAAAGGTATCTCACAGATACATATATTTTCCCATAGAGGAAGTCTATGTTATATAAAAAAGAGAATAAAAAAATTAAACATTAAAACTATATTGACTCTGCTGTGTTTAGTTTTGCTACTTAATTTCTCTTGGCTAAATCTCAGCGAAGAAGATGATTTTTCCCAATGACTGTGCTTTTTTTTTGAAAAAAAAAAGAGGACTTCCAATAAACGAAGGAAAGCTTCTAATAATAGGTTACCCATCACAAGCGATGCTAGATATTTAATGCAGCTCCTCTAGATCGGAAGCCTGGGTCTGGACTGAATATTCGGCAGAAATTCACAACGTGCTTTTACATGCCATCGCTACCAGGTTTATTCCACCCCATCTCCAACCCCACACCAAGACCTCGGTGCTGTTGAGCAGAAAGAAGCAATTTATCAGGGAGGTTTCTGCCATCTAGTGGAAAATACAGGGCGGACACCAGCAAACCCTTTGTTTAGAGGCTAGGCGGGCAGCTGCTCTATTTAGCCCGTGAGGAAAAAAAAAAAAAAAAAAAAAAAAAAAAAAAAAAAAAAAGTATTCACTTCCAGTAGCATTGTCTCTTACAAGTCTCTCTTCTGCTTGATACATTGCAAAATAGAGCCTCTAATTTGTCCTTAGCTGTACTGGCTGCTCCTTGCCAATCCTCACTAATATCCTCATCTATTCAATTGTATTAAATAAACTGCTTCTGGAAGACCTCAAAAGCTGTCGTGTCATGGGGACAGATGTAACATAAAGAAAACAAACCCAACCTGCTTCTTAAGTTTATGGATACTACACACTGCAGCTGCCCTTCCCACACCCTCTGCCTCCTGCATGCAAGCCTCTGGGGCACAAAGCCCTGCTACTTCTGCCGCAGAGCCCAGAAGAGGCCTTTTGCATCACTTTCTATGTCAAAAGCCTGCCTTTCTCCCCCCCTAAGTGTTACAGAGTCAGGGCGGGGAGCCACAGTTGGACTTGATCTTGATGGATGCTCCATCCCTGGGAGTGTTCAAGACCAGGTTGGATGGAGCCTTGAGCAACCTAGCCTAGTGGAAGATGTGCCTGCTATGGCAGGGGGTTGGAACTAGGTGGTCTTTGAGGTCCCTTCCAACCCAAACCCTTCTGTGATTCTGTGATCTTAGAGGTCTCTTCCAACGTAACGATTCTGTGAGGAGCCGGGACAGGTTAGTCAGTGGGTCCCTCTCCCTCCCCCAGGCATAAGCGTTATTCCCCCTAAACTTATCCCCCCCCCAACGCAGAGGCAGGGCTCGCAGTCCCCAGGCTGCCGTGCCCGCGGCCTTTCACCCCTCCACGGCCGCGGACGACACGCCGCAGGACCCGCGGGGGAGGCCGCCTCCATTTCCCGCCTCCGCGAGGGGGCTGCTGGGAGTTGTAGTAAAGGGGGCAGAGAGAAGATGGCGTCAAAGATCCGTGTGGTGCTACGGCCGGTGAAGAGTATCGTAGTCCGGTTCTGCCCCTTCGAGTCCAACGTGGAGG